CAAAAGCTACTGGGTTCGGCCGAATCCGTAGCTCGTGCGCTAGCTCCGCCCCTGGTCAATCCAGTAGCTTTTGTTTAAACTTTAAAACCTAGTTTTTAGCACTTTAAAATTACATCTTTATCAATATTTATCACTCTTTTAAGGTAGGGTTAATTAGGAGCTGGAAATGTAGAGATCTTTCACTTTCAACATCTCTGGACCAGCAAGATGCATGCAAACAGAAGCGGAGCCAGTATATCGGTTCTGAATTTGTCGCGGAACCCATAGATCGTCTTAGTTACTGGGTTCGCAATTAATATTTGTATATATTTAATGAATTTCTTAATATAAATACAATATTTAAGCAAAAGTGATTGGGTTCGGCCGAACCCGCACCTATAAGGCTAGCTCCGCCTCTGTCGCTAAGCCTTGTTGGGTAGAATTACCAGGTAACAATTTTTTTTTTTTGATAAGGGAATTACCCGATGCAATGCTTGTGGAAGGTAGGTACCCGGTGGAAGGACATCACCATCATCATAGAAAAGAAAGAAGGAAAAGACGTCCACAGTATCAGAACCAAATTCCTGGTGAAAGACTTATCGAGGCTCAATATATCCTATTTTTTAGGGAGATCTGAGAACCAACACTTGATACCTCGGTACGGGCTCAAGGTAATCCGTTCTTCCATAGCTACTGTCTAGAGCTTATTTGCACGTTGTCAATTTAGAAGTCTCAGCTGTACTACCTACGAACTTTTTGATACATTCATCAATTTTCTTGGAGATGTCACCTACTGGATGTACTAGTCTTTTTGGTGATATCTACATAACATACTTCATAGAGGTATGCAAGGACACATTAGTGTGAACATTTTCCAGTCTAGTCCAGACTTCATTTCGATATGGAAACATGATGCACAATATTGCATTTGTGCATCTAGCAATTCGAATTTTACCTCAGCTCTTGCACTACATTTCACGCCTATTAAGAGGCTTGATTGTCAGAAAAAAGAATTTGTCTTACATTCATCAGCAGTCAAGTATTGAATTCCAGCAAATCAGTTTATAAAGGAATGCCCGTCCGTATTTTTGAAAGAATTTAATTATTAGCTGAAGAAATTTTATGCTGCTCCATTTATAGGTCTTCAAGAAGCCATGCGCTGAAAAGACCTCTTTGGTGGTGACACTTTTTATTGGCTTAAGAACAAACAACTAATATTGAGTACTTTCTAGCGCACAATTTGTTATAGGCACAAGTCATGCTCTTAACTTTTAGCAAAAAATTTATTTTTCAACAACTTCAAAGTGCACATGCTTTGCTGTGTATCCGGCTATTTCAGTCAGAATCCTCTTCACAGTTACAAACTTAGAAAATTCAAGCTTGTGCTAGTTGCAGAGCTTCATTACCAGACCTCTATCTCTGGAGATATTACAATAGGACTTCTTACTGTATGATTTCCATTCTCTTCCACCCAGGTGATTGAACCAGATTGGACTTCTTGTTCTGCATCGCCTGATTCTAGAAAGTAATCAGTTGCTAATTCTATATTGCTACCAATTTTTGCTGCTGCAATATTAGATGGGTAGGCGGCTAGAATTAACACTCCTGGTGCTAATATGTCTGGCTTTGCCTCTCTCAGGTAGCTTCGAGAGGGACCTCTAGCTGAGGATGCAGAAACAACTGGAGCAGGCTTTGAGTCCAAATGCGTCTCCAGGAAACTAATGCTGGCCTTGGGTTCAGGAGTCTTTGTGACATAACTCATAACCTTTTTCGCTTCCTTGGGGGTTATAACAACTCCAGGATTTGGAAATTCAGTGGACCTTAATATTGCTGGATCGTCAGTAATAAAGATGGCTGCTCCAATTCTGGCCTCTGCAACTGAGGTCATTTGGCTAGAGACTTCCTCTTGCTATAATAAGCAGACAGTGTCTTGTTGTAAATTACAGGCAAATCCTTAATAATAGCTCTTGCTGGAAACAAGCTCCATCCCCTAATCTTTAAACCATTTCCCAGGGTCAGCGTCCCTGAAAACCAACGGTCAGTATGGCCTGATGCCACGGTGAATATCCATGGTACTCCATTGTTTAAACTTCCCATACCAGGACCACGATTTCCTGCAGAAGCAGAAACCAACACACCCTTGACCATGGCACCGAAAGCAGCTATTGCAATAGTATCTTCATACAAAGGAATAGAGCGCCAGCCATAAGAAATGCATATCATGTCAACACCATCTGCAACAGCTTGGTCCATAGCCGCAATCAAATCTGAAGCGAATTCCCCTTCATCAAAGCTAAACTTATACACAGCAAGTCTAGCTCGTGGCGCAACCCCTTTTGCTATTCCAGGAGCATATCCGAAATTTGAAGCTCCTTTGACAAAATTACCTGCAGCAATAGAACCAACATGGGTGCCATGACCACCGGTGTCCCTTGCAGAATTCATGGAAATGTTCGCATCAGGATTACTAGCCAGTAGTCCCTTATTAAAGTAATGGCCCCGATGAGTTTCCTGTTGCACAATGAAGTATTAAACTCCGTGCCCGGCCTACAAATTCCTTTCCATTTTTTAGGGATTTCAGGCATCCCATCATCTCTGAAACTAGCAGACTCCGGCCAGACACCAGAATCAAGAACACCATTGATCACATCTTGGCCAAAACCAGAAGCTGGCCATAGCCCAGAGGAGGGGTTGAGCTTAAGAAACTCAGAGGTACGTGTCGTGTGAACTTCAAGAGACCTATCTTTATAAGCTGAAATGACACCTTTGGACTTCTTAAGAGCTTCTAGCTCATCTTTAGACAAAACAGCACTGAAGCCATGGAAGACATTGTCATAAGAATAGAGAAGCTTTGGAACAGGATGGCGGCTATTAAGTGAAGCAGGAGTTACAATCTTGATGGAGTCAATGGTGGAAGAATGCCAGTGATGGTGACTAGAAAACACCTTAGGCATTAAAGACTTCTCCAAGTGGACAACGTATGTTGTTCTCTCTGCTATGGCTACTAAACAGAAGAAATGGGCAATAAGAAACCAAGATAAGAAGAGAAGAGGTCGGAAGCTATTCATTTCCATTGTTATCTTTGTAATTTGTGTCTTCCAATTACAGATGAGCCTCCTTTTAATAGTAAGAGGCTCAAACAAACCAATGGCCATTGGCCATTATTTTAAGTAGATAGTAATATAATTTGAGCACATGGTGCAGTAGTCTTTTTCAATATAAAATCCTGTCAAAAGAGAAGAATACCTTTGAGGTTTGAGCCATTGGCCAAGACGGGTTTTGTTAGTATAAATTACTGCAAATTGCAAATATATAACAGCACATTCATCAACAGCTTCTCAGCTTTTAGCTTATTAAACGGACATATTGCATACTTTAATCATTCCTTTTTTTCTAAAGAAATTATTCTTCTTCCTCTTTTTGATAGGCTGTTTAGTTTATTCTAATTTTCCCCTTTCTTTGAATATGCATGGTTGTAAAGGTTTTTGGCGCTACTATGGGGATGACATAAAAAAGACCTTTGGGAAGACCACTTGATTAAAATACCAATTAATGACATTTTTGAAGATCTGAGGTGAATTCGGTCTTATTTTGTATTTGTCTATGAAATGTATAGAAGGGGAGCCTTAGAGCAATGGTAAAGTTGTCTCTATAGGTTACGGGTTCGAGTCGTAAAAGTAGTCACTAATGTTTGCATTAGGGTAGGTTGTACTTGTTTATATCACACCTCTTAGGTGCGGCTCCTCCCTCGACAGTTGAGTCGTGTAATAGCTACAGTGTTCTTAATATAATTATCAACAAAAGGCCAGGTTAGTTTGTCATTATCAACAAAAGACCAGGTTAGTTTGTCACAGAAAATAGATTAAAAATAAAACTAGCTATAAATGGCGAACTTGTCCATTTCTATGTTACAAATACTTTTGTTGGAAAAAACAAGAAACAAGAAAAGTTGATATAACGTTGGACATCATAGGGGAAGTATGTATGACAAGATGAAATCTCATGGAGGTATATAATTCTTTTTCATATAGTATAAGTCAAATAAATATTTTAAATTCCGTAATCAGCGAAATGGATAAAATAGTGTAGAGGGGTAATACTGATGGTAATAAATTTATGGTAATCATAAGCACTTTTCTATTTCTGAAGCTTTTATATTTATTTTTTCGAGCGAGTAGGGAACTGAGGGAGAAGCTCGGGAATAAGTCGCACATACGATTTGAACCCTCATCTATATTGAGGGCAACAATGTATTAAACTAGCTCCCAACCCCTTCGCTAATTGTTAAACTTTTAAAAGGAAAGAAGATATGCTACTGATGAGATCTGAATCCTTCACTTACAACATGAAAGGCAATTTGGGATCCTCATTTTGGTCCACCGGCCGTGAAAGCTTTTACTCAAGGGGTGCTCTTGGCCCAGTGAATATCGCATATTTTGGTAACGGACTACGTAGGCTACAATACAAATTGTGCAATTATGTGATTGGGCTATATTGTTGGGAGAAATTAAAAAATAGTCATATTCATAAGTGGTAATTGAAAAATAGTCACAGTTTCAAAAGTAATCCAAAATTTAGCTACTTTTTATGTAAACATAAATCTGAACGAAAACACTGTTCAAAATCCGAAAAATATTTCAGCATAATATATTGAAGTTCCAATATGATATACTGGACTTCCTGCATAATATACTAGAGTTCCAGTATAATATATTAGTCCGGCATAATATGCTGGAAGTTCATATACATGTGCTCCAATCTCTAGTTTATTATGCTCGAACTTTCCGTGTGTTGGAGTTCCAACATAATATGCTGGAAATTCATACACAGGTACCCTAATCTCCAATATATTATGCTAGAACATTCCGTGTTGCGGCAAAATAGTGGCTATTTTTCAATGACTTTGCAAATGCCAGTTATTTTTCAATTACCGGTCCGAAAACTGGCTAGCCCGTGCTATTTTCACTATATTGTCTTATATGGACCAGAAAATAGTCCGACTTTTTCTTCTCCTTGATAAGTAACAAAATACTGAAACTCTCACGTTTATTCAACTGTTGGGACAAACTGAGACATGACCACAAACAAGAATCTTGTAGTGTAGGAAATTTATGAGTTTGACTAGCTTCACCTTTTGCGAATTATAGCATGATATACATTAGCACCTACGGATAATTAAATTGAACATAAAATTGGCATTGTCAAACAAGAATACTTTTTTTAGCAACTGGGCCGAAGAAAGCTTCCGCGGAAATATTGACAATATGGCATTGAATCTCCTCTCGAATTCCACCTACTCTGTATCCTAACCCTCTCAAATGGAAGCTCAGTTAAGGCACCGAAGAAGCTAGGTAGATGGCAGAAGATGCAATATACATGTGTAGGTCAATTATGCGTTCGGAAGCTTGTACTCGAGCATCTCCCTTACGTTTAACCGAATGGATGGCCCCATAGATGAACATACATGTGCACTCTTCCAGTAAACTCCTTTTGCACCTGATGGTTTGTTTGCTTCTATTGATTTCTGTTATTCAAAGAAATGCAGTTGAATAAATTTTATACATATCAATGGTACATTTCAACCATTCTGGAACAAGAAGTAAAAGGTACGCTAAAACATACCACTGCAGCGATGAAGTTTATGATAAGATCTTCTTCCGAGAAATTTGCTTTCCCAAATGGTAAGTGAACAATTCCAGTTTTATCTGCTCGGTATTCTACTTTACCCTTTTTGAATTCTTCTATAGCCTGGAAGAAATATTAATCAGTTTACATGCTTGAAAAATGGTTCAATAAACAAATCATCAGCCTACTCACTAATTACACTGTTTTACATTTTGTAACTTTGAACAACTTCAGCTAGCATATATGCATCCATTTTTCATTTTATATAAAGATCTAGGCATTATTCCATTGTACAAAGAGAAAGTTGAACATAAAAAGACAGTATTCTGATTAACTTTTTCCACAAGCAGAAAATACTGACACTTCACCTGAGGTATATTTGTAGTGACAGTACCAGCTTTTGGGTTCGGCATGAGTCCCCTAGGTCCCAGAATCCTACCTAAGCTAGCGACCTGTCGCAAATGATAGAGAATGTATTAATATGAATCCACAAAAGAATAACACAAAATGAGCCGCAGATATGTTCAGGAGTAAATTCAAAAAAAAATGTTTCGAGACAAAAGTAACTTAAAGAGATGCAACTTTTTACATCAGATGTCCGGCAGCCTTAAAATGGAAAGAGGGGCTGGGAAGCCTCTATGATTGATCACTCAGCTTAAGCTAGGGTCACTATGGCCCTTCATCCTGCAGCATTACTAGATCTATGACAGAACAAGAGGGAACATAAATCATTCAAACATACTGTGTGAAAAATGTTCGCATGAAGCTTATAGAAGTCGAGTACAATGTAAAAATATGACATTTTAAAATTAACTTTTTAAAGAAAGAAGGTTTGGTTAGAAAACATATGCTGTGATAACTAGCCAGATTTTGAGTTTGATAAATTTTATGAGCACCAACTTAGCAAAAAGGTATGAAAAAAGGTACACCGAAGGATAGAGAAAGACTGCGAGTAACAGAAGCTTCTATGAAAATTTAAAAAAAATTATGTTTCACTCAACCAAAACAACAACTTAACAGAGAAGTTTTCAGAAGAAAAGGAAAAGACAGCTGAGAGCTTTTCACCAAGCCATATGAGTTGGTTCAGGACAGTCACTCTTAGACTGTAGTGGACACTTCAATATTAAATTCTCAAAACCAAGAGACAAGAGTTTGTAGGCTGGTTTATGAAGAAAGTATAAAGATGAAAAGAGAGATCAGATTGAACACAAAAGGCAAGTCACACCGTTATCCTAGCAAAGACTAGAGAAACACCTTAGGCATCATATCTGGTGTCGCAATCAATTTGTCAAAATCCATAAATCCAGCCTTTATCTGCTCTATCAAATCCTCTCCACCCACTAGATCAGCTCCTGCATTTTTTGCTTCATCGAACTTTTCACCTGTATAATTTTAGCTGCAACACAATTAGCGTACAAAATAGAGACTACAATTCCAAAGAAATATTTCAAGACGAGAACAATCTATAACTACCATTTGACCACATCCCAGATGCAAAAAGAGCCTAGCATAGTGCATTCAGTAGGTAAGGTCGCTAAAACTAGACAAAACAATCACACTGGAAAAGGAAGACCACACGTGATCATCTTTTTCTAGAATACCTCATTGGAGTCTTTTGTTTCATTTATTTTTACCATGTCTCTCTGTATGATGGTCTCGTAGTATCTTGAGGCAGGTGCCTCCTTCTCCAAATAGAGAGGACTTCTACATAGGGTAAGCGACGTAACACAAAATTTCACTGCACTCAAGGGATGGAAACTACTAATTGGTTTGCAATTTGAGGAAAGAGCAAAGCTTGAAGATGAAAGAGAGAAGCATGAAAGACAACAGCTTCATCAAGATATCATTGGTAAAAAATATTGTATTACACTTCTTTAAGAAAATAAAGCATGGCCAAACTAAAATCAATGTTTCATTTCAAACGGATCAAGTTAGTACATTAGGTAATGCATCATATGCAGCTTGAAGCTTCACAAATGAAAACTGTTCATCAGGTGCGCCTTTGAGCACTACTTTTACAGATTGAAATAATATCTACAAATTGAAAGAGGAGTGCAGAACCATTTGCTGGAGAAAAGAAGTAGTTTCAATGAGAAAGAGAAGACGATACGATTACTGAGGTGAACAGTTTCGCATTCCCGAGGAAAAAGGACAGGAAGAATGGAATAGAAACGTAGAAGTACATTGGAAGATTGCCTTTGATAGTCTAGAGAAGAACCAGAGTTGACTTTTCCTATGGGCAGTGAAGAAGGATAAAGTTCAGACACGTGAGAATATATTTACAGTGCAGTATATTCCCTTAAAGATGAAAGATGGTGCCAGTGACTGCAGGCAATAAATTATACTAATTCAGATGCCAACTTTTCCTTCTAGCTTTTCAAAAAGTATACCTTGCTTTCGGGGCATTAATGACACAATCTTCAAAACTGAAGATCAATCTATTGGCTTACTATCACGATAGATTCACACAAAATATGTCTTAAGGAAGTACCTTGGGTAAGAACGGCCACTTTAACAGTTTGACCTGTTCCCTTGGGCAAATTCACCTGAAATAAAGAAGTCACCACAATTGGAGACACTAATCACACCACTAAACACGCGATAGAAACTCTGAAGTATGTAATGATGATGAATGAAAACTTACAGTTGCCCTAAGCTGCTGATCATTGTATTT